GTTGTTGCACTATCATGATTGCTTCTAGATAAGTGTAGGGCTTATTGTTGCACTATCATGATTGCTTCTCGATAAGTGTAGGGCTTATTGTTGCACTATCATGATTGCTTCTCGATAAGTGTAGGGATTATTGTTGCACTATCATGATTGCTTCTAGATAAGTGTAGGGCTTATTGTTACACCATCATGATTGCTTCTTGATAAGTGTAGGGATTATTGTTGCACTATCATGATTGCTTCTAGATAAGTGTAGGGCTTATTGTTGCACTATCATGATTGCTTCTCGATAAGTGTAGGGATTATTGTTGCACTATCATGATTGCTTCTCGATAAGTGTAGGGATTATTGTTGCACTATCATGATTGCTTCTCGATAAGTGTAGGGATTATTGTTGCACTATCATGATTGCTTCTTGATAAGTGTAGGGATTATTGTTGCACTATCATGATTGCTTCTAGATAAGTGTAGGGCTTATTGTTGCACTATCATGATTGCTTCTTGATAAGAGTAGGGATTATTGTTGCACTATCATGATTGCTTCTTGATAAGTGTAGGGCTTATTGTTGCACTATCATGATTGCTTCTTGATAAGTGTAGGGCTTATTGTTGCACTATCATGATTGCTTCTTGATAAGTGTAGGGCTTATTGTTGCACTATCATGATTGCTTCTTGATAAGTGTAGGGCTTATTGTTGCACTATCATGATTGCTTCTAGATAAGTGTAGGGCTTATTGTTGCACTATCATGATTGCTTCTTGATAAGTGTAGGGGCTTATTGTTGCACTATCATGATTGCTTCTTGATAAGTGTAGGGCTTATTGTTTGCACTATCATGATTGCTTCTAGATAAGTGTAGGGCTTATTGTTGCACTATCATGATTGCTTCTAGATAAGTGTAGGGATTATTGTTGCACTATCATGATTGCTTCTTGATAAGTGTAGGGATTATTGTTGCACTATCATGATTGCTTCTTGATAAGGGTAGGGATTATTGTTGCACTATCATGATTGCTTCTAGATAAGTGTAGGGCTTATTGTTGCACTATCATGATTGCTTCTTGATAAGTGTAGGGATTATTGTTGCACTATCATGATTGCTTCTAGATAAGTGTAGGGCTTATTGTTGCACTATCATGATTGCTTCTTGATAAGTGTAGGGCTTATTGTTGCACTATCATGATTGCTTCTTGATAAGTGTAGGGCTTATTGTTGCACTATCCTGTTTGCCTTCTTGATAAGAGTAGGGCTTAAAAACCAGTGGCTGATGGAATGAGCAACCCTCCCTTCCGCCAGAGACGTACAAAAAACATGGTCAGCCAGTCTAAACATCCGGTCAAAACAAATTGGCTCTTACGTCCAACACTAGAATATCTTTGGCCTGTTCTAATTTGGGTCATTACGGGTCAGCTCGCTTGTTCTATGCTGAGGATGAACCTGTTACCGATACTGTTCATGAGTGAGTGAGTGAGTGAGAGAAAAGAAGTGGTTCATGCGTTGTGGGGGCGTGTAGTGTTCACGAGTTGTGAATAAGTGTGTGTGTGTGTGTGTTTCTTGTGTTATTAGTGTGTGTGGTGTTCACGTGTTGTGAGTGTGTGTAAACTTCTGTGAGGTTCACAGTATAAGTTGTGAGAGTGTGTGAGTAAATTATCATCTGTGAGGTTCATGCAGTATAAGTGCGTGTGGTGTTCACGTGTTGCGAGTGTCTGAGGTTGATACATTATGAGCATGCGTGGTGTTCACGCGTTGTGAGTGTGTGAGCTTGATACATTATGAGCATGCGTGGTGTTCACGTGTTTTGAGTGTGTGAGCTTGATACATTGTGAGCATGCGTGGTGTTCACGTGTTGTGAGTGTGTGAGCTTGATACATTATGAGCATTCATGGTGTTCACGTGTTGTGAGTGTGTGAGCTTGATACATTATGAGCATGCGTGGTGTTCACTTGTTGTGAGTGTGTGAGGTTGATACATTATGAGCATGCGTGGTGTTCACGTGTTTTGAGTGTGTGAGGTTGATACATTATGAGCATGCGTGGTGTTCACGTGTTGCGAGTATGATTGTGAGGTTCATGCAATATAAGTGCGTGTGGTGTTCACATGTTGCTAGTTCATTTATTGTGTGAGAGTATTGGATGTTCAGGCCCAGTGTGTGTTTTTCTGTGTTGTGATTGCATTTTTGTGTGTGCACGTGTAGTGTTGACGTGTTGTGTGTTTGCACGTGTAGTGTTGACGTGTTTTGTGTGTGTGCACATGTGGTGTTGACGTGTTGTGTGTGTACACGTGTGGTATTGATGTGTTGTGTGTGTGCACGTGTAGTGTTGACGTGTTGGGTGTGTGCACGTGTGGTGTTGACGTGTTGGGTGTGTGCACGTGTGGTGTTGACGTGTTGTGTGTGTGCACGTGTAGTGTTGACGTGTTCTGCGTGTGCATGTGTGGTGCTCTTGTGCTGTGTTTGAATGTGTGTTCTTCATACACGTGTTGCAGGCTGTTTTGTTGTGCGAGTGTAGCATCTTTTTTTGTTTTGTTGCTATAGATTCCAGAACATTCCCGATAAACACCATCGCACGTTGTAAGCGATCGAGAAAGTTATATATACAAATGAGCATTAATTAAGCAACACCTAAATCTAGAGGTAATTTTTAAACCTTTGGCACGCAAGACGAAGGGATGTCCTTTCTGAGTGTTTTTGAGTGTACCACACTTGAACATTAACACGTGGAAGCACGTGGCCAACGGTTAAGTAAAGGATCTTACACGACAGGGAAGTCCGAGAAGACGAATGACCGTGATGACGGTGTCCTAATTCGTCTGGCTAGACGCAGTCCCATGACCCATACCGAAAAATAGTGATTGGGATTCCGACCCTACACCATTAATATCATTATTTGGTGGTCTGAGGGCACGTGGTCCGATCAGATGTCCGATTCTCACAGACAGGATGCTTCAGGATGGCAAGGATGTCTGAAGGGTGCTGGGTTTACCTAGTGGTCACGCCGAAGACAAGCCTCGACGGCCGGCTGAGTACAGCGTGTTTTAAGCCCATTTCTCGTGCCCCTCAGGCGGCAAGTGTATTGTCACTAAGTTTGCTGTTTTCTTTTGATCAGAGTAAAATATGTAGCAGTTACCAGTATAACACGCAAAATTTGGGATTTCAAAGCATACACCACTACGTTGTGTTCCTACTCATCAAATCAAAAGGTGGTGGTGCTTGATTATTGCTCATGCAAATATCAGAAGGAACGTGGTCGTGCGTGACAACGGTATAGGTCTATATTCGTTTGGATACGACCCTCCAGCTTGCAAGGATCGGCGTGAGGATCACAGTGACTGGCCACCAGGTCCTGCAAACTGATGACCGGCGGCGACGCGACAGCCGGTGTGTAAATCGTGCACGGAACCCCTCAAGGGATTCAAATTGTCAATACCCAGGCAGTATTTTGTCACGATGCAAATCTGTACACCTGATCAAGTTGCATAACGAAAACGACTCTCTGATATCGACCATGATACTTGGCGCACATAGTGCTTTAGGGCCGTTCTGAAAAGCTGGTGCCATCATTATTACATACACACACAGGTAAATACTGCATACACATGAAGGTAAACATGCTCAACAAATATCTAAAATCATCAACTCAGGTTTTGATAGACAGCTCTTTTACCACTTCTACTTGTACCGACTCCAACCGACCGCCTCCGTGGTGTAGTGGTTTGAGCGTCCGCCCGGAGAGCGGAAGATCGCGGGTTCGATCCCCGACCGCGTCAGACTGACTGACTGACTGAGTTTGGTGTTACGCCGCTTTTAGCAATATTCCAGCAACATCACGGCGGGGGACACCAGAAATGGGCTTCACACATTGTGCCCATGTGAGGATTCGAACCCGGGTCTTGGGCGTGACGAGCCAACGCTTTAACCATTAGGCTACCCAACTGCCCCGACCGCGTCAGACCAAAAAGACATTAAAATATGGTACTTGTTGGTCCCTGCCTGGCGCTCGGCATTAAGGGGTACAACACGGACTGGTTGGCTCGGAGTCAGTATAATGTGTCTGAGTGGGGTAGTCATGCTTGGCTGCGGCGTGGAATCTCAGTGGGCTAGCACTATAAAACCAGCTTCAGTCTGGGCTAGTACAAGCAGCCGCACCTACACACACACACGCATGCACGTCGTCATATGAGCGAAATATTCTCCAGCGCGACGTAAAACTCAATTTCACCTGACCTCACCTCACCGACCCCAACCAGTCTGGTGCTGGCTCATTATGCTTGCTGTGTTTCTCATAGATGTCTGCCTATTTTATGACTGAACTATTAGCGAATGTGAAATACATGTCAGAGTGGGTGAATGAGCGGGCTTAATTTAACCCTTATATTTATGGGTGCTTGTGTCTGACACATGAAAGGATGCCTATTTGTGTGACATATGCTTGTGTGCCGATGACATACTCCCGTCTCCCCACCCCTGTGATATATAGAGAATCTAACCCTTTTGTCTTCTGATCAAGGCTTGCCGAGGATATTTTTACTTTAATCAACGAGTGTTGATATATTTGATATCAGAAGACAAAAAGGGTGAGATTTATCATCCAAAATCATTCTTCATCGGTTATCAGTAAAATAATGAATTTATATGAATACATAACTGCCATTAGGCTTCTTGAGCAGGGATTCCAGTGAGGTCATAGCATTGTGACGTCATCAACTTTGTTACGCCATAGCATTGTCTGCTGTGTTCTTAGTGACGTCAAAGCATTGTGAGGTCATTAACTGACGATGCAATGGCATTATGACAATTCAATTGTTGCGATATTTACAATGTAGATATCGCTTGTAGATATCGCTTGATCTCTCTAAATTAATGTGTGCCTTTCATTAATATTATCCATTTCTGCAGATTCCTGTTTAAGAATGATCAATGTTGTATTTGTAATGTCTTTTCTATGATATAGAGGTACTTCTCTACATCCTCCTGCTTCACACCTCTGGATACGTGTATGTGGTAATGCACAGGGCGACGTGTCTGTGTTACCAGCGATTGAAAGACTTGGATCCTCATAGAACCCCCATCCACAACATTACGCAGATCATCGCAGGTGAATCGAGATCTCCCAACGTATACCACAACGTCCACTCCACCCTTGTTGCAACCACACCAACGAGGTCCCAGCTCGTCTCCACCTGCAAAGACCCTTTTCTCAGTGAATTCAAGAAAAGTCAAATCTACCTCTGCAACAAAGTGCGTGGCAGGTTAGGTAACCAGATGTTCGCATATGCATCTGCGTACGGCGTTGCCAAACGCCACAACAGAACAGTTGTCATAGAAACATCTCGTCCCCTAAATAGAATATTCAGCCTGAAAGCTGAGTTGATTGATGATTTCTGCGTCTGTGATGATGTCAAGAACGTTCAGCCAAGATGGGGCTGTCGGTTTGATGCAAGCTTCTTCAAAAAATCTTTCCCACAAAGAGTCAATGTCCGTTTGAATGGATATCTACAGTCTTGGATGTACTTCCGGCACATGGAGGACGATATCCGGAGGCAGTTCACCTTTACCGACTCCTATAGGAAGGCCGCAAGGGAGATAATCGAAAAGACAATAACTGCTGGTGGGCGGAAGGCAACGACTGTCATAGCTGTCCACATTCGAAGAGGTGACATCACAGCAGAACCTCGATATGTCAGATATGGATACAAAGTTCCAAATGACAAATATTTCTTCAAAGCGTTTGCCTTTTTCCGTGAAAAGGTATCGGATCCTGTGTTTCTTCTTTTCTCCGACAATTTCGAATGGACGAAGCGGCACTTGACCGGAAATGACGTAATCTATATGGAAGGCCACAATGCCACGACTGACATGGCGTTGATGATAGAATGCAATCACACCATCATGTCGGTCGGGTCGTTTGGCTGGTGGGCCGCCTACTTGGCGGGAGGTACCACCATATATTACCGACATCCTGCCTGGGACGGAAGTGAACTCCGAAAGGAGTTCTCCAAGAACTACTCTGATTATTTTATGCCTGAATGGATTGGGATGGAGTAGTAAGAAAAATAGTGAAACTCAATAATGCCAGGCAGGTTAATACTGAGTTTATTAACACCTTGGGTTTCCATTTTGTATAATAATTTGGTAAACAGTTGGGACATGAATTTGGAGCAAGCACATCAGTGCCACACATGCAAGGTATAGTATTCCTGAGGATGGAACAGTAGTCGGAAAACGCAACTTGGCTAACGTCATAACGTGTCATAACGTGTCATAACGTGGCTTGAAGGCACAATGTCACACCACATTTCTCTAAAAATACATAATGAATTTCTCCCAGTGACACTAACTATCAGACCTCAGGGAAGCTACCATATAATTTATTCCGAAGACAAAATACGAATTTAGTTTACAGTATTAAATTAATTAGTTCGAACGAATTAATGCAACGCTACATTAAATCGACTCTTGCGCCATCTACCGGTCGAACATTATTTCAAGCGAACCCATAGAATTATGTCCCTTGGGGCGCTCTTTACGAATATTTTACGCACAATTTGTGATTGAGTCCAATTCGGCAAACACTGACAACTCCGCGTGCGACAGTTTTCGATGTATGGAGCAACCGTTTACATTTCATAAATGGTTATTTGTTTGGAAGCCGCTGGCGTCGAAATTTCAGTTTTCGATTTCAGACAAGTCGTAAGGGATAATAAGTCTTTTATTGCATCAATAGGAAGCAAAAGTGAGTGCATATGCCCCAATATATAAAATATAGGCCAAATTTTGTCGGAAATGTGTGATATTGTGCCTTTAAGTCTATAAAAGATGTCACCAATAAATATGGGTAGGTACTAAGTACAATGTCTGGCCCGACATCATTACAGGGGTAATGCATATGAGATAAAGATAAAATGGATGTTTCAAAAGAAGCATACGTATGCGGACATAGCTTCATTGTATGGAGTAGGACGTGATGATTACACGACACCGTAAGATTGTATTGAACTACAGTCGAATAATATAATATTGACTGGATGTATATCGTCGACGACGATCAACATCTGTCTTCCAGACATACAGATAATGTATACAACCCTTACTTCACAGAATACAAAGGGTTTCAGCCAACGGTATAGAAATGTATCAGGCTGAACGATGACATAGTGGAAACTACAACAAAACAGCACCAGTCCAACACGAAACGTATTAATTGATAGAGCGGAAAGATATAAGTCTTTATGAAAATTCAATAATTCTTACAGCGAAATGTAGACTAAACTATAGACTCTCTGTTAACGTAAGATGCCAGTTTCGTTAATAATTACACGTTGATCGGAGGATATATACTGAGTCAAAAAAGAAACTTCACAAAATGTAATTTGAAAAATAATGAATAATTTTTCTCTGATGATACATCTATGTATCCGAAACGGGATCCCTATCTGTCGACTCTAGAAAAACGTTAGCAAAACCCACTCAAACCCATCCATTAGTCGTGCAAATGACGTTAGTGCCAAATCAGGTTTTGCACGTGCAGTCGATCACGTGATCTTCGCATCGAAGTTTTCGTCATATGCACGTGTTTGCATTGGCCTCAAGAATTGAAAAAACACTTTTAAACCACAGTTCTAACGGTACTTGAAATGCCACGATTGTCAAATGTGCAACGTGAACGTGCCGTTGGCATGTTGCAAGCGGGAATATCAGTTATTGACGTCGCAAGAGTAATGGGATACAGCCGTCGTACTGTGTATGACTTGCGAGGTCGTCTACAACAAACTGGCACCACTTCTGATCGCCCAAGGTCGGGTCGTCCACGTGTGACGTCACGAGCAGAAGACCGTCAAATCGTCCTAAGTCACCTACGTGACAGATTTCTGCCGGCTACACGAACCAGGGCTGAGATGTTTAGAGGTCGACTGTCCTCACAGACCATTCGAAATCGGTTGCGGGCTGCCAATCTCCATTCTCGACGACCATATCGTGGGCCAATATTGACGCCGTTTCATCAACGTCAACGTCTGCTGTGGGCCCAACGTCACCTCCGATGGACCCAGAGAGACTGGAATCGAGTCGTCTTTAGCGATGAATCCAGGTTAACCCTAAGATTCGCGGACGGCAGGCATAGAGTCTGGAGACGACGTCGTGAACGGTATGCCCAATGTTGTGTACAGGACGTCGACAGTTTCGGGGGCGGAAGTTGCATGGTGTGGGGTGCTTTCTGTGGGAACAACCGTTCCAGACTTCTGGTCATCCATGGAAACCTCACAGCTGCTGCTTACCGCGACCAGGTGCTCACCCCTGAACTCGTTCCTTTCATGGCGGCTCATGGCCCAGGTCTACAGTTCCAGCATGATAATGCTCGGCCGCATACCGCGATGTTGACACGAAATTTCCTTCAAAACGCTGGAATCAACGTCATGGACTGGCCATCGAGGTCCCCTGACCTTAATCCAATGGAGCACGTTTGGGATGCTCTTTCGAGAAGGCTTCGTGGTCTTAGGAACCAACCTCAGAATTTGCAGGAACTTGGCGCTGCCTTGCAAGAGAAATGGCGCAGAATCCCCAACCACGTGTTCACAAGCATCAGGCAGTCGATGAGGAGACGTTGTTTGGCAGTGGTGAATGCGCGGGGCGGCCATACACGATATTGAACTGAGAAATTTCGCATTTTTTATTCTTGTGACTTGACATTTTGTATACCCATGTTTTGGAACGGCGGTGTAGCCTAATGGAACTGATTATGGCACTGTCAGTGTATCGAGTACATCACACAGATCTCAGCAATGAAATAATAACAATTTAACCATCTTACCATCTCTTGTTCTTTTATAGTGCCCTGAAGTTTCTTTTTTGACTCAGTATATTTTGGAAGAATCGATATACTGTTATTTACTTTCTGCTTCCACACAGAGCCAAGTAGATATATATTTAATGAATCTTAAATGAGACACCATTCATTACAAATTGTAATAAAATATGATAGTCCTTTTTTAGGAAAATGAGAGTCTTGAAAAGCAACTACTGTACACGAATACCGTTCACAAATAGGACTATTGAGCGGACGCTCTCCAACAATGTTCACGTACAGCTCTACCCGTGAAGATCCGGGTTAGATTGATCTTCAGTAACCCCTGCTTGTCGTAAGAGGCGACTAATGGGATTGGGTGGACAGGCTCGCTGACTTGGTCGACATATTTCATCGGTTCCCAGTTGCGCAGATCGATGATCATGCTGTTGATCACTGTATTGTCTGGTCCAGTCTTGATTATTAACAGACTGCGGCCATATAGCTGAAGTATTTGTGAATGTGGCGTAGAACTAAACTCACTGACGTACTCACGTACAGCTCACTCCCCTAAAGGTTTCAACTGACAAGGCCCCTCCACCCCCCACCCCCTCCAGTATATACGCACGTACATATTGGGTTGACATTATAGTCCGTTGGCCCCAAAAGCGGACCGATGAATTGCAATCGAAAACTCGAAAACTACTTTACATATAATACTCAATGAAACACTGATCATAATCAAAACATCAGACCAACTCTTGTAATTTTTGTATGTCCTGAAAATGAAAAAGGTTGTTTAACAAACTATCATTTAACTTTTGACACAGCTCACTATTTGTTACGAGGGAAGGGAGCAGAGAGAGGAACAGCCAGGTGTACGTGGAGCACGTGCACAAGTGACGACTAAGTTAGTGTTTCATTTACCTGTGCTGTGCCGTCTCCATCCTTTCTCGCAGCCCCCATCCCCCTCCCTTTTGAAAATGACTAAAGACCACATTGAAGTTGGCGGAGCCAAGGTAGGCTTCAAGGCGTTCGATCCCCCCTTTGGAAATTTCAGGATCCGCCTATGTTATGAGTTGCATATGTTCCTTGACGTCACGAACCAGCTTCACGTGGGAAAATATTTGTGACTTGAGGACCATACCCTACAGCCGAGTTGTTGTCGGATCAGTATGATCAACATGGAAACGAAGAGTTATCTCTCTTGTCAGCGTGTAGATGGCTACCATCAAGACGAACGTGTAAGACAGCTTATAGTAAACATAACGCTCGTAAAACATCATCCCTTGGCTTCATACTGATTGTCCTCACGCCCGCGTACGTTTGCAACCTCTCTTCTTGGAGTGAGTGAGTGAGTACGGTTTTACTCCGCTTTTAGCGATATTCCAGCAATATCACCGCGGGGGACACCAGAGTGAGTGAGTTTAGTTTTACGCTGCTTTTAGCAATATTCCAGCAATATCACGGCGGGAGCACCAGGAATGGGCTTCACATAGTGTACCCATGTGGGAAATCTAACCTGGGTCTTCGGCGTGATGAGCGGACGCTTTACCCACTGGAATACCCCACCGCCCCTGCAGAGAGGTCGAAACAATATTTCAATGTAATAACAGATCTGTTCAATTTGCGTAATCAAGGAAGTGGTCAGAATTATATTAATTATCGATGGATTGGATTAAAATGACGACTCTCCTGGAGATGAAAGTTAACGGTTGACGTTCTCTTCGACTGGAGGGAACTTGAAACTCGATCACGTTTGTACCGAATCTATGATAACAAGAAAAGTCTTTAAAAACTGCAACGTTGGAGGCGCCTGAGTAAATTAGGAAATTTAGTGAGACAGACGTGACGTGATATGATTTGTGTGTGTGTGTGAAGCTGATCAGGATGACCTTAGAGAGTTGCTTCTATTATATTAGAGATCGGTACGCGCATCGCAAATACGGTACTCTCATCTCCAGTATATGACATTTCATATCAAAGGTCTTGGTCACGTCTGCCCGTGTCTCAGCTAAGATATATACATAGCGCTCACTTACACGAACGCTATCACCCACCTCTGTTGGCCGCAATGGAGGAAATCCTTTGTCGCACCCGTTACGATTATTGCGCTCCCGTTACGATTATTGCGCACGAAACACGTATATGATTGACTTCTTTGTACTCATACCTACAAGTGCGCCCTATTGTCATTATCAAATCCAGAGGTTAATATTTGCAAACCATTAAACATCTCAGTCGATCTCTCGCATGTCAGCGGCATCATTTGAATCACGTGACCTGTGACGTGTGTGGGATTCCCTCCCTAAAATCGTAACACACAATGGCCATAACGAGGTAAATCTAATCAGTGCTACTAAAATGGAATGGATTTTCCGATTATGAAATTCGAAATTATCCGGTATGATACATATATACATTTATCAAAACTGTGTTCCACATGAGATAATGCTTGTGTGAGATCAAACGATATATCCTAGGAGATATCATTTTGACAGTAGATTTTGTACAATGCCCTGACAATGCTATGACGTCATGAACTTGATGACGTCACAAAGGGCGCAATGACATCGCTGCACTGCAAGTCTAATGGTAGTACCATGTTCAGAGATGTACATTTTTCATTGAAAACTAATGATGAGTGATATTTGATGATAAACAGAATCTCACCCTCGATTTTACTGATATCAATTATATCAACACTCATTGATAAAAGTAAAAATATCCTCGGCAAGCCTCGGATGTTTGCAACTTTACCAACACCTGGGTGAGATTCTCTATACTTACGCTGTGTAAACATTTGTAAATTTGAACATTTAGATCTTTCCCCGCCTAAGGAAAATTTCATGTTTCCAACCCCATAAACTTCGAACAAAGTCGGAAATTTCAGCACCAATTGCAGTTAAAAGAAATGCATTGGAAATATTCTATGATCACGCATCTGCTGGGGTACCTGTTTTGTAATTCATGCTTGGAAATACCTGAAAATCCGGTCATAGCACATATGAACGAGACGCTTGTGCAAACGAAAATACACGATGAGCGTATGTTTCAAAGGTATGAAATATAAATGTATGAAATATATGCCCGAAGTTGGGAAATATCTGCAAATATAAGCATATCCGGTCATGACATGTATTTCCTACAAGTTTTGCCTTTCCTGTGTTACAGCCAATTGTCACCTCATCGCAACGATTCACATTTCATACTGTGTATGGTTTTATGTCGCTTTTTGCCAAAAATCATACGAAATGTGCTCACGCTTCGTAGCCATGTGGGAATCGAACAGAAGAGCTTTTGGGCCATTTAGTTCACCACAACAGCAAGTGTTACACTACATATGAACATTGATGTACCCATAGTACAAGGAGATTTACCACAATTGATGAACTCCCAGCCCAACACAATTATAACGTGGGAATGGGGAATATAATCATACTATGTATACACTTCATATATATCAGCATTTGAGTGACGACAGTGAAACAGGGCGGAGACTGCCGTCAGAGATGGCCTAATGGAAGTCACTACATCCCGACCCAGGAGGGTGGGAAGAAGTCTTTATAGTCGGCCGAGAAGTGTCTCCGGAGTCCAGACTGCTCGAGGGCTGGCCACTGATAGTACACAACCTCACCCCCGGCCAGGAACCCCGCCCACCAACTGAATGACCCCACAGTAGACAAACTGTGGTCACAGCTCACCAACACCGCCATGTCAACGTCAAACGTGTTCCCTTCCACGTAAAAAACGTCATCGCCAACAAGATGCTTTTTGGTCCACGTCATATCATTCGAACACACAATGAACAACGTGTTGGGATATTTGTCTCGGTAATACTTAGAGGCATTTCCTAAGTATTCTGGCGTTGCAACCGTAAAACCAAATTTATGTTTAACCATATCGCCCCGTCTCACATGGACGCCCACCAACACGGGGCGGGTGTCCTTCACAGTCACATTCCGTTTATGGAACGTGTTTATAGCACCGTTTATAATGCCCATTGCTTTGTCATTGATTTCCTTCTTGAAGGTGAATTGTTTCTTGATTGAGTCCTGAACATGCTCGAAGTACTTGTAGGATTGTAAATAGCTTCCAAGGCATACGTTCTCTCCTTTGGCTATGTGCATGAGGCTCTCTTCGAATGCACAGGCCTGCCTTGGACCCAGTCCTTTCGTCCCTCTAATAACACATTCAAAATCATCCACTAACTGGACATTAAGATTAAAATAGTCTTTCAACAAAAAGCCCGTGTCCATAATGAGTGTTCTGTTATTGTAGGTTGCTATTCCATAAGAGGATGCATAGACAAACATTATGTTGCCGAATCTTCCTAGAGGCCTTGAGCACAAGTAGTTCTGCTTCTTCAGGTACTCTTCCCGGAAGCGGTTTTTGCACACTGCCTGCATTGACCGTGAAGTGGTTAACACTGGCTGAGTGGTCGTTGTTGTAGGGATGTTTCCACTGGGAATGGCTGAAACTGCTAGTAGTTTGGTACGGGCTATGGCCGCTCTTTTCGCGGTCTGATTCGTGCTAAGCTTTGCAGGATGGGGTGGAGTGAAGGTCAAGGATGAGCCGTTGATGTAAATGTGGAGGACGTGTAGCTCACTCCTCCACTGGTACGCCATGAACGTCGTGAATCCACAAAATACAACCAGCGACAGGACATCTGAAACAGACATATGGAAGTCATGAAGACATGGGCGTATTTCATCCTGAAACACGTATATTTTAACAGAAGGCTGGTGTGCCCTGCCACTGTGTGTGTGAATCCAGTAGAAACATTGGGTTTATACAGGTATCGGTTATAATGGGAGCTAAGCATGTTTCTGAGTGTGTGAGGATTGTTTCTAGTAATACTGCAGACGCCAGAAATATGATTCTCAGTTTGCATCAATATGGAGAATTTAATGTAGAACGAACCCTTTCACCACGAGTCTGCCCAACAATCCCATATTTAGTATGGACACACAGGGGGTAAATCCTGTCTATGCTCAACCGGAAGTTGGTCGTCATGAACTACAGTTCGTTTGAGTCAGAAACGGACCGATGAATTGCAAATTTTATCATTGTACAAAATTGCCAAATAACTATAAATAGTACACGTGTTTATCATTTACTAATACCCAACAGCTTTCTTATATTTGAAAATTTTCCTGACTCCACCAAAAAGTTGTTTAAGAAACTATCATAATTGAAAACGCAAAAGATGTAAATCAGTCTGATGTATATATACTATCCCCAAAAAGTAGGGGATGTTCCATTTCACATGCATTGTTCTAGTAAATACAAATGATTATCAAGTAAAGTATTATCTACCCTTTGAGAGTAATCATTTTCCGTAAAATTATCGCCCAAACACAGCACTGACATGCCCACAATATGCACGTGATAACTGTGATGATCATGGGCGTTGAACCTGACATTTGCACAATGTTAGATGTGACGTTTCTCGTCATTAACAGAGGAAACTGGAATGAGCAAACATCAATTTGGTTGTTTTAGAACTCTGTTAACAACTTTGAGACATGCGCAGATTTTCTCAAGATGACAGGTTATGTGCCCTTGGCATGCTACAGGTCGGCACAACACAGACCCTTGTGGCACGAAGTTTGAACGTTTCACAGTCCGTTATCGGTAGATTATGGTCCAGATACCCCGACACATAATCTGTCAACGACAGACACTGCTCAGGTAGACCAAGGGCAACAACTGCGGCTCAGGGTAGATTTATCCGTACTACAGCCTTAAGAAATCGTCTCATAACAGCCAATCAGATTAGAGATCGACTGCAAGCAGGTGCTGGTGTTAGAGTGAGTGACCAGACCATCAGAAATCAACTGTACAGTGGTCAATTACACGCACGGCGTCCTCGTGTCATCCCCTGCTTGAGAGATGGTCACATTAGGGCAAGAAGTCTTTAGTGTTAAGAACGCCAAAGCTGGGATTATCGACGTTGGAACAATGTAATGTTCTCTGATGAGTCCAGATTCGTGTTAGACTTCGTTGATAGACGCAACGGGGTTTGGCGTAGACCTAACGAACGTTTCCACGATGTCAGCGTCATTAGGCATGATCGTTTTGGAAGGGGGGTCAGTAATGGTGTGGGGTGGCATCACTGCGGCTGGAAGAACGGACTTACATGTTGTTGCTGGACGTGTCACAGGTCAGTACTAACGAGACATCATCCTGGCAGCCCATGTTGTGCCATTTGCTCGACGCCATGGCCGCCGTTTCATCTTCCAAGATGACAACGCCAGATGTCACAGGGCTAGGATTGTCACTGAATACCTCCAACAGCAGAATATCACCAGATTACCATGGCCAGCCTTAAGTCCACTACCGATCTTATCTAAGATCAATCTTAGCAAGTTACGCCAATTTTACAATCGTCATAGCTAGAAGTTACACCCGTTCCACTAACCGATCTTAGGCCGATCGTAGCCGGTTCCGATCTTACGATCCGATCCAAGCTTAGATCGAGACTCTTTCGTGCGAGAGATAGGGGAATGCGAGGCACGAGTTATTTCCCTTTGCATAGTCTAGCAAATGATAGAAAGTAGTTTACGAACCAACTGAGTGAGTGAGTGAGTGCGTTTAGATTTACCCCGCACTCAGCAATAGTCAAGCTATATCGCGGCGGTCTGTAAATAACCTAGCTAATTAAGATGCATAGCGTTCACTTAGTGAACGCTATGTATCTTAGCTATAAATAATCGAGTCTGGACCAGACAATCCAGTGATCAACAACATGAGCATCGATCTGCGCAGTTGGGAACCGATGACATGTGTCAACCAAGTCAGCGAGCCTGACCACCCGATCCCGTTAGTGGCCTCTTACGACAAGCATGGGTTACTGAAGTTCAATATTCTAACCCGGGCCTTCATGGGTGTTTTTCCAACCAAGTGTAAACGTGGAGAAAAAAACTAGAGCAAAATATTAGGGTAGTGAGCACCTTGGTTTCAGGTGCAAGTGTGTGTGAACACTGCTGGGTATCAGGTATAATATAATAATAATAAATGCATATTTATAGTGCGCCTATTCCACATCCTGGGGCATGCTCAAAGCGCTATGTACAGATAATTTACACGACAGTACTTACAGCCGAAATTATAAGTAATATACTGAGAACAGGTTTTAAGTCTGGACTTAAAAAATGTCAATTGTGTTAGAGCTTTTATTATGTCTTTGGATCCCCCACCAAATAAACGCACGTGAAATCAAACATATTTGTATCTTTTTGTTTCAGAACATTGTTCACTTCATGACCCTCCCTATTCTTAACCATGACGTTGCAATATTGTTGTACAAATGTGTTACACCGACTCACTCGGTTGTGTTCCCATGACGACAGTGGTCAGACTGGCCTGACATTTGTAAGGCTTCACTGCACTGTGTGTTTACATCACAGAAATATACAAATTTGTACCACGCCTGAGTGTCGGTTCCTTTGATCTTACCCGTGGTGTATGTGCTGGAAGACAACAGTTTTGTCTTGAAGGCAGATTTCGTCTGCCATTGGCTCCTAAAAGCCACGCCCCACGGCAAGAGGACTGAACTCAACATTGTTCAACATTGTACACAATTTATGTCAGTCAAGGTTTGCAACAAGGAAATGTAACTTCTACAGTTTTAATGGTTTCAAATGAATTTACAAGCTGAAATTGACCAACTCTTTTATTTATGAGAACGAAAGTCCCCCACCATTAGAGTGTCTACATCGTACTCATTCACTCTTTGTGAAAGACTGAGCTGGGAAAGTCCCTCAAATGCATGAAATTCATTTTCCATGACTGATGCAATCTGTGAGAGTGTGAAGTCGTCTATGTCCTCGTCCCACACTACATGTGCACTCATTTTGGCAACTAGACTGAGAATGAAACGGTCGTTAAAACTTTAAAATTTTCCCGCTTCCCATACATAATAGGCGTGGTACAAGTCAGTTAGCTCATCCAATCCTCGATCTGTGCTCGCATACACCACAGTTTTGCCGGAGTTGATTGACAGGTGAAATGCTCGCTCTTATTTTTCACATAGAATAGGAAAGCCACCATTTTGGTTTCTCTACGATTGATTTTAGCTATCCTAAGTTGGTCATGAGCAACTTAGACTTTGGATCTTAACTTTACGATTGACTTGGGTAAGATCGGTTAGTGGAACGGTAAGCCGATCGTAACGTCCCGCTAAGATTGGGATTTTAGGGGTTTACGATTGGCGTAGGGCTAAGATCGGTTAGTGGAACGGCACCCTGGGTAAGATCGAGACTCTTTGGTGAGAGATAGAGAAATGCCAGGAATGAGTTATCTCCTTTGCATAGTCTATCTTGGACAGCGCTTACGGCGACGTAAACAACGACCCACTACTCTCCAAGAACTTGCCGCTGCATTGCAAGAAGAGTGGAATAATGTCAAACAAAATGACTTGCTACGCCTCATAAGGAGTATGCCACGTCGGATCCGTGCTTGTTTGGCCAACAGAGGGGGATTTACCCATTATTTACTTGGTTTTTACCATATGGTAAATCTGCAGATGGACCCTTGGTGTAGTTTGACCCATGCCACACGATGCCCTTGTTTCTTTGGCATTATGAAATGTATGGAATATAATTTCATATGGTCCCTTAACAGTTCTTCATCATTTGTTCCGTTCTCGTTTTCACACGTTGCCTCTCATCAGCCATCAACATCCGATATCCCCTACTTGTTTTGATAGTATATCTACTTAAAACCCAGTAATCCCAGATGTAAATAAGTCTGATGTATATATCTACTAAAAACCGAGTTATAAATCAGCCTCATGTATGTATCTACTTAACACTCAGTAATCCTAGGTGTAAATCAGTCTGATGTATATATCTACTTAAAACCCAGTAATCCCAGGTGTAAATCGGCCTGATGTATATATCTACTTAAAACCCAGTAATCCCAGGTGTAAATCAGTCTGATGTATGTATATACTTAAAACCCAGTTATAAATCAGCCTGATGTATATATCTACCTATATATCCAGTAATACCAGGTGTAAATCAGCCTGATGTATATATCTACTTAAAACCCAGTTATAAATCAGCCTGATGTATGTATCTACTTAACACTCAGTAATACCAGGTGTAAATCAGCCTGATGTATATATCTACTTAAAACCCAGTAATACCAGGGTGCCGTTCCACTAACCGATCTTAGCCCTATGCCAATCGTAAACCCCTAAAATCCCAATCTTAGCGGGACGCTACGATCGGCATACCGTTCCACTAGCCAATCACACCTAAGTCAATCGTAAAGTTAAGATTCAAAGTCTAAGTTGCTCATGACCAACTTAGGATAGCTAAAATCAATCGTAGAGAAACCAAAATGGTGGCTTTCCTATTCTATGTGAAAAATAAGAGCGAGCAATTTCACCGTGAGCGTCCCCTAAAATCCCCCATGAAATGAATTTGTATATTTCTGTGATGTAAACAAACACTGCACTGAAGCCCTACAAATGTCAGGCCAGTCTGACCACTGTCGTCATGGGAACACAACCGAGCGAGTCGGTGTAACACATTTGTACAACAATATTGCAACGTCATGGTTAAGAATAGGGACGGGCCATGAAGTGAACAATGTTCTGAAACAAAAAGATGCAAATATATGCGCTTATTTGGTGGGGATTCTAAAGGCAGGCCGCGTGTTATTCAAAACCACTGACAGATTCTACATAAGTTATAGAGGGTGCCTCGTCACGCCTTGTTTATTCTGATTGACAAGGTTCAGGCACATATTAAAAGCTCTGACACAATTGACATTTTTAAAGTCCAGACTTAAAACCTGTTCTCAGTATATTACTTATAATCTCGGCTGTAAATACTCTCGTGTAAATTTTCTGTACATAGGGCTTTGAGCATGCCCAAGGATGTGGAATAGGCGCACTATGAATATGCATTTATTATTATTATATTATACCTGATATCCAGCGTTCACACGCACTTGCACCTGAAACCAAGGTGCTCACTACCCTAATATTTTGCTCTAGGTTTTTTCTCCACGTTTACACTTTGTTGGAAAAATACCCATGAAGGCCCGGGTTAGAATATTGAACTTAAATAACCCATGCTTGTCGTAAGAGGCCATTAACGGGATCGGGTGGTCAGGCTCGCTGACTTGGTTGACACATGTCATCGGTTCCCAACTGCGCAGATCGATGCTCATGCTGTTGATCACTGGATTGTCTGGTCCAGACTCGATTATTTATAGCTAAGATACATAGCGTTCATGCATCTGAGCTAGATTATTTACAGACCGCCGCCATACAGCTGGACTATTGCTGAGTGCGGCGTAAATCTAAACTCACTCACTCACTCACTCAGTTGGTTCGTAAACTACTTCCATCATTTGCTAGACTATGCAAAGGGAGATAACTCGTGCCTCGCATTCCCCTATCTCTCGCACGAAAGAGTCTCGATCTAAGCTTGGATCGGATCGTAAGATCGGGACCGGCTACGATCGGCCTAAGATCGGGTAGTGGAACGGGTGTAACTTTTAGCTAAGACGATTGTAAAATTGGCGTAACTTGCTAAGATTGATCTTAGATAAGATCGGTTAGTGGAACGGCACCCAGGTGTAAATCAGCCTGATGTATATATCTACTTAAAACCCAGTAATACCAGGTGTAAATCAGCCTGATGTATATATCTACTTAAAACCCAGTAATACCAGGTGTAAATCAGCCTGATGTATATATCTACTTAAAACCCAGTTATAAATCAGCCTGATGTATATATCTACTTAGAACCCAGTAATACCAGGTGTAAATCAGCCTGATGTATATATCTACTGAAAACCCAGTAATACCAGGTGTAAATCAGCCTGATGTATATATCTACTTAAAACCCAGTAATCCCAGGTGTAAATCAGCCTGATGTATGTATCTATACCTAACATTCAGTAATCCTAGGTGTAAATCAGTCTGATATATATATCTCCTTAAAACCAAGTAATCCCAGGTGTAAGTCAGCCTGATGTATGTATCTACTTAAAACCCAGTAATACCAGGTGTAAATCAGCCTGATGTATATATCTACTTAAAACCCAGTAATACCAGGTGTAAATCAACCTGATGTATGTATCTACTTAAAACCCAGTAATACCAGGTGTAAATCAACCTGATGTATATATCTACTTAAAACCCAGTAATACCAGGTGTAAATCAACCTGATGTATATATCTACTTAAAACCCAGTAATACCAGGTGTAAATCAGTCTGATGTATATATCTACTTAAAACCCAGTAATACCAGGTGTAAATCGGTCTGATGTATATATCTACTTAAAACCCAGTAATACCAGGTGTAAATCAACCTGATGTATATATATCTACTTAAAACCCAGTAATCCTTGGTGTAAATCAGCCTGATGTATATATCTACTTAACACTCAGTAATCTCCGGTGTAAATCAGTCTGATGTATATATCTACTTAAAACCCAGTAATACCAGGTGAAAATCAACCTGATGTATATATCTACTTAAAACCCAGTAATACCAGGTGTAAATCAGCCTGATGTATATATCTACCTAAACCCAGTTATACCAGGTGTAAATCAGTCTGATGTATATATGTACCTAAAACCCAGTAATGCCAGGTGTAAATCAGCCTGATTATCGAAACCTATTTCTGTTGCCCATCCTCGATGTTTATCCCTCACTTTGTCTCCATTACGTTACCCCCATTCCTCCCCCGCGTCTTGCGTCATCACCCTCCAACCCATCAAATAACACGTCACTATTAATCTCATATGAAAGCATGTAAATCACTTACTTCTCGTTGAGAGAACGTTGCACCTGCTGTGTCTTGTCGTCATCTGTGAATGCTACACTGTCTGCTATGTTTGTTTGTGAAAGCTGTGCACCTTCTCTCGTTTGTTGTCATCTGTGAATGCTGCACTTGATGGTGTGTGGGGTTCACTCAGGAGGCAATGGCAATACATGGTTGGCTGTCTGAAGGGTAGGTTACTCTGTGGCGCAGTCTGGCAGGCGCTGAAATAACTTAACAGCCACATGAATAATAAGTGACGAACGCTTTTTATCTCATAACATCATATTTTGATGACGGCAACACAAAAGAAATAGGGAAATATTGTGTCAGGAGGTATAAATGTGCAGCCCTACACGCCCTTGGTGAAAATGGACGCGTCCGGTCGTTCCTCGTTCAGTGCACGGACTTCTGCTGATCGCGCGTGCAGAGTTTCTTTTTCGACTCCACAAAATACCGTTCTTAATACATCCTGGAAGAATACAAGTCCTGCGTCGAAGAATGCACATGTATGTATGAAAAAAAAAACCCCAAAGAACAATAAAAAGATACTTTTCATAACGGATGGATACTCTTTCTCCGTCACGCTTCACCTGACAGTTGGCAGCTTCTGTTGTTTTCATCGGGTCACAATGCTCCAATTAACACACCCGTGTACATCCGGGTTACAACCCATGCTTGTCGTAAGAAGCAACTGACGGGATCGAGTGGTCAGGCTCGCGGACTTCGCTGATGCATGCCATGGTATCCCTGTCGAGTAGATTGATGCTTATAACGTTGATCACTGGATTGTCCTGTCCAAATTCGATTGTTTACATGCCGCCACAATATAGCTGGAATATTGCTGAGTGCGGCGCAAAACAACAAACAAAAGCCAACCAACACAGGTAAACCAACTTCCACCTTGTGCGACGCATGCATGTGTGTGAGTTGCGTCTCACTGCGCGTATTGTGACGAGGTGAAAATGCATCCCTCAAAAATTAGAAAATTAAAACAAATCTATTATTTCGAGTCGTACTTAGTTTCGTGACTGAGTTGATGTTGTCTTTACTTGTGAATCACTGCTGTGCAGTTTACAGTAATTCTCCGATCACGAAATAAACCTGAAGTCATGAACAATGTGGTCTGGCGGTCTCAAGTAAATTGAAACCTTGTATGTGGACATGTGACCACTCACTCTTGGTCCCCGAGCAGCCTCGCGCCCAAGAGAAGGACAGGGTAATGTCTTGACTCACCACGAAGCCACGGAAAGAACTACTATTTTTCTCATTAAATGCATTCTATTAAACTTGACCTTTGACCTTACCAAAATATTTTTGTGAATGAGTGAGTAGCCGTTGTTCTAATAATGAGCTTGCATTGAATTCGTTTTGCAGCTTCACCACGTTAATAAGTCCACAACAATGTGCAACAAAATATTTAATGTTCTCAATATAAATAACATCTGATAAAAGAATTCAATAGGCACCGCTATTGTCTGTCAACACATAGTCAATTGTCTGTCTCGTATATACACACAGTTAACTGTATACATACAGACAAATTCCTGTCTCAAGACACACAGACAAATGTCACTTATTCCCATGAACCATTTATCTGTTGTCTCATATACACATACGAGTATATGTTCCCAGTGTGTACACAGTACACAGACCATTTCATACACATATAGTTAATGAAGTTCTTATAAGTTGGACGAACATGAACACATGGCACGTTTGATAGATAACAACTTCTTTTTATTCTTTGCATGACGTTTCAGAGTTAATTCTATCTCCTTCATCATTCATCTGATGAGAAAGCAAGAATATACACGTTCTATAGTCGTCATATAAAGAATAAAAAGAAGATGTTATCCCTGGAACATGTCACGTATTGATATGGTCAATGGCCTGTCTCATATAAACATAGCTTTCATACCTTAGCTTCCATATGTTAACATGGGACTATAGCACTGTCGGAAATAGAAAAAAAACGGTATTTTCTCATTTATCTCTACAATTTATGTAGTTGATATGTGAAAGTGTGAAATATCTGTTAAACTAAGTTCGACCTAACTACAGTCTCAGTGGTAGAGAGATAGGAAACGGAGAAAAAGGACTTTACTGAAGGGGAAATTAGTGCAGAAATGAGCAATGCGGGTTTTTTCTAAGTCCAAAAAGACTTATTTGGAACAGACCATGGCTTTATGCAAATTAGTGTGCGACGATATTGTATTACAAAGGATACTTTTTAAATGCCCAATTTGAAATTAGAGGTAGATTCATTTTAAACGATAACTGACGTCGAAAATAATAACTTTTATGCCGAAACTATTAAGGATGTAGCTACCATGCAGTCTCACTGTCACTATAAAGTGAAACAGATAGGAGGGGTCGCCTCAAAAGAAAAACCTGGGGTCGGGCTTCGGGATAGAGATATCAGCTAAGATAAGATAATCCTTTAGGGCAATTATACTGGGCAGGTACACGGCACGTCATAACAATTTACAAATAATATCCAGTCCTGTCGATCTTCGGGTGGTCATGCCACCTGTATACTACGATGCGTTTCTATGGTTTTCGGGTATCATACTCTCTTACATATCTCAACATAAACTTTATGAAAGAAAGACACGTAAGATGTTAATCAGTAGATGAGACATAGTCAACACACATGGACAAAGCACCAAATATATTTGAGATGACCCCTTGTGCCTGTAGGCAGCACGTGCATTCCATGCCAGGTGAGTCGACGGTCCGTCGTCATACCTGGCTGAGCGACCTAATTGCCATCTATAGTCTGATCTATTGTTTTGAGCAGCTATTCGTATTTTTCTAAGTTTTGCCCGATTTAATGAGTAAACATGCTTTTCTGGACATCGTATTACGCATCCAACTGAACGCCCAGTTAGGCCGAAGTGGGTTATTTCGACATATGCTATTTGCAATTGTGTAAATTTTAGGGATACAGAGTAACAGCCTAAAACAGTTTTTTTCTATTTCCGACAGTACTATAGTTTCTTGATTGAGTTATTGATGTCCTTCCTCGTGCTAACATGGGACATGACTTATTGATGTCCTTCCTTGTGCTAACATGAGACATTACTCAGTAATGAGTTTTTACAAAGAAAGTTTACAATTTTACAAAATATGATATGGTGCAGTCTACACACATGAGGCCCTGGGCTCGGAGGGGTAGCTGAAGAACATACAGATCATAACGGACCTGATACAACATGTCTCAAGGACGGAAGAAATCACTTTGCTTCCGAAATCCGGAATGTAACTATTTGCTCTTTCTTCATCAACTGACTACATAATTATCGGAATGAGCACCACGGATTGGAGGGTATCAATTTTTATCTTCCGTGCAGCCCTTTCTCCTTTACTAAGAAACAAACTAACGAACAAATACGGAGCATTGGCATTGTAAGACATAAGGTGATTCCACGGTTTGAAAGACGGTGTTGTATAATCATGAACCACCGATCTGGTAGCTGTATGTATAAACTCCACCTGTATGTTTGTTTCAGTATACTGACTGACTGACTGAGTTTGGTTTTACGCCGCTTTTAGCAATATTCCAGCAATATCACGGCAGGGGACACCAGAAATGGGCTTTACACATTGTACCCATGTGGGGATTCGAACCCGGGTCTTCGGCGTGACGAGCCAACGCTTTAACCACGAGGCTACCCCACCGCCCCTGTTTCAATATAAGGCACAGTGACAGTGTGTGCTGTGCCCAATAAGACGTGAAATAACAATGTGGGTCTAATGTCGCTACAAGGCACCAAGGGGCGTTGGGGTAGTCTAGTGGTTAAAGCGTTGGCTCGTCACGCCGAAGACCTGGGTTTGAATGCCCACGTGGGTACAATGAGTGAAGCCCATTTCTGGTGTCCCCCGCAGTGATATTGCTGGAATAGTGCTAAAAGCGGCGTAAAACCAAACTCACTCAGTCAGTACAAAGCACCACAATAACACGATGCAGTATCTTTTTCTGCTACTCCCGTATCGTCTCATTATCAGGTGCATCGACAAAGGTGCACGGTAACGTAGCCCCTCGTCCCTATAAACCCATCAGCAAGTCAACACATGCTGCGGTCACCTGGAATTATGCGAGTCACCCAATCCTGGCCTAGTCATGCCCACTCGTACATAAAGCCACTTAAGAGTCCTTTCATTGAAACAGGACAGAGATGCCGATACAGATGTATAATATCATGTGAGTTACTACATCCCGATCCATGAGGGTGGGAAGAAGTCTGTGTAATTGGCCGAGAAGGCTCTCCGGAGTCCAGACTTCTCGAAGGCTGGCCACTGATAGTACACAACCTCTCCCCAGCCAGGAAGCCCGCCCACCAACTGAATGACCCGACAGTAGTCAAACTGTGGTCACAGCTCACCAACACCGCCATGTCAACGTCAAACGTGTTTCCTTCCACGTAAAAAACGTCATCGCCAACAAAATGCTTTTTGGTCCACGTCATACCATTCGAACACACAATGAACAACGTGTTGGGGTATTTGTCTCGGTAATATTGAGAGGCATTTCCTAAGTATTCTGGCGTTGCAACCGCATAACCAAATTTATTTTTAACCATATCGCCCCGTCTCACATGGACGCCAACCAACACGGGGCGGGTGTCCTTCACAGTCACATTCCGTTTATGGAACGTGTTTATAGCACCATTTATAATGCCCATTGCTTTGTCATTGATTTCCTTCTTGAAGGTGAATTGTTTCTTGATTGAGTCCTGAACATGCTCGAAGTACTTGTAGGATTGTAAATAGCTTCCAAGGCATACGTTCTCTCCTTTGGCTATGTGCATGAGGCTCTCTTCGAAGGCACAGGCCTGGAAATACCCTGTAGTATTGTGACTCTTGTTTAGCATAGCAGCAGAGGGTTGATAAAGGTTCGACAGTGAGCTGTTGACAAATATGTGGTAGACTTGAAGCTCGTTTCGCCACTGGTAAGCCATGAGGATCGTGAAGACAGCAAACACAATCAGTACCAGGAAATCTGAAACAGAAACAAGAAAATGAAGTACCACTTCCTCATGCCCATGCTTGATAAGTAATAGTAATAGTAATAGTCCGCTTATATGGCGCTCATATCCAGGCACATTGCCTGCTCACGGCGCTAGGTACATTGCTATCCCCGGTCATAGGACACTGTCGTACTTTCCGATACTTTTTCAAGTCCCTGGGGATCATACAGCCATGCTGCTTGTTAGGCGCAATGA